ATTTAGGCAACAAGATTATTTGGCAATGATATATAATTTTTTATATAAATATCTAGAATTTGTTATACGATTTTTCAATGATTAGAATTTTTCAAAGTCGGCTATAATGATTTTTATTTGACTATCTTAAAAGAATATGTGGTTTGTTTTTTACTTCAGATAAGGATTTCTTTCTCGAATAGTTCACAAAAATTGCCTTGCACAAACTGCATTTTTACCAATTTTTGAAATCTTTCAATCTGGAAAAGTTGCTGTTACTTGCTATTCTCTGTATTTATTCACTGAAACATAATTTCCAATATTTCTTTTTCGTTCCTAAATGTATGCATCTTAATTCAGTTCACTGTCTTTTTTTGTTGGAAATGGAAAGGGGAACATGGAAGCAAACGATAATATAAATAATAAATCAAAATATTAAGAACTGCTACTATATTTAACCATTTTAAAAACAAAAAGAACTTACGTTCAATTAATAGGCCATTAAAATTTTCGGTTTGCGTCAACAGATACTTGCTTGGATCAACTGGCTATGGATTGGAGAACTGTTATTTGTTTTTCGGTGTATGAAAACGTTCCTGTCCTCGCAATCGCATTTTAACGATATTAAGACACGTCAGATTCATTTACCGACGAAGTTAACGGTCTTCGAACGTCGGAGCATCGAATGCTTGAGATGATAAGCGGTGTGGAGAGGGATCGTGTATTTCTTTTTGAAAACTCGCAGTCGGAAACTCTCGAACGAATGCTACCGATTCGTAAAAACTATGATCGTGGTCGCTTCGTTAGCGAGAGGTGAACACAGCGACCAGTCCGCGGCAAGACGACCCACTTAAATTTACGATTTACACCATGCGATTTATACCAAAGATATATTAGCTTCTCGATCTCGTGAAAAATATATACATGTCTTACAATCAAGAGAAACTCCCGTAAATCTTAAAGAATAAAAATAATTATTTACAACTTCGAGGCATCGTATCGTAGATAGTTCCGTCTACGAGCGACACTTTGCTGCCGTGTTTTAGAGTTCGAATATAAGTCTGATACTCTCTCCCGTGATTACGAGAGACATTGCAAGAATTTATTTACATTGGGCATTGTTATTTACCATGGACGCGTTCGGTGCGGTTCATTAGCACATGTCGCGTCCGTGAGAATCGAATAACTTAACATCACGATACGGACGACCGAGGTCGCGACGATTTGATATGAAAACGTCGTAGGTCGGAAAATAACGTGATCCGTGGAAAATCGTATCTGAATATTTCTTTGCGTCAATGTGTCTTCAAGAATTAATTACGCGAAACCATTTTTACACAACTCAAGAATTCTCGTTAATTAATTATATTCAGTGTTTTATTTTGTTGCGAACAATGATCGATCGTTTGGATACAAGATGAAAAAAAAGCGTTGCGCGTGAAAAACTGAAATGCTTTATCAAAATTCGAAAACCGATATCAGACGTGATTATGTATGGTCACGGATAAACCGTTACTGCAGTTTGCCTTGAGTTTAGCACAGATCTGTTTTATACGCGACTGAACAAAGAGCTTTCTACGAAGAGAAACATAAAATCGGGAAGAGTAATCAATGATTGATTCTATACAACGGTAGGCCTTTTATCGTTCCAAGAAACCTCTGTTAGTTACATATCCGTACTACCAAACTAATAAGCTTAAACTATAATAATCGAGTTCGCAACGTGCTCCTGTACACTAGAATTTCGCCGAATAGTAGTTCTCGTTGAAAAAATAACTAGAAATATAATTCGATCAAATGTTCCACTACTGTATAAATTGTAAACTTAGCAAGTCTAAAATAAACGGTAGCATTTGCATATTGTCAGAATTAAAAGCGAAGTTCGGCAGAGTTGAAAATAAAATACAAAAGAGGGGATAAGATCGAACTTAACGGTCTGCGAGCTTGTCCAGACGATCCCTGTAACAAACGAAGATAGAGAGAAGTGCAAGTCACTTCTAAGCTACGTTTAAATTTTAAGTCCGGGATCAATGACATCCGCGAAAGAGCCCTCGAATGTAAAAATAAAAAAAAATATCGTTACACGATTTCTGATTCACGAAGTACAGTACTTAGAATGTTTAATTAAGCGGTTACTCGGTAGTCGACTCGCTAAGATCGCTTTCGTGTTTGAAAATCCCGTCTATCGTGTCAGGTGCCGAGTCGGCTACCGAGACGCCATCGAACTTGAGGTCGTCTCTTTCTGTCGCACTCGACAGTCTCGGTGTAATTAAGCGGTCGACTACGATCTATGTGTGTTTGAAATGTACGCGAGACCATGTCAGCCGATGCTATGCGAACGTCTTATTTCGGATCGTATTCAGAACGGATTGCGAATGGCATTGAATTTAAGAACATCGTTCTTCGTCGAGCATCTGGAACACACCGATGACATCGCAGGGCTTAGGGTTTTAACGGGAGCCAAAGTGATTATTACAAATGAAAGAGCAAACAAAGACCAGGTGTGGGAACGGATTGCCCTTTGGGGAATCGCCGAGGTTCCATCGAAGTCGAAGCAACAAAGCCACGCCTAGTCGGGGTACTTCGCGCAACGAAAGTAAAACAGAAGACTATCGCTAACCTTCTACCTCTTCCCCTGGCGTCGTTTGCCCTTAAGCGTTGCTCCCAGGGGCAATTCAGAGCGCTCTCAGAGCAAAGAGCGCTTGTTGCTCGTGCCTGATGTAGATGAATGACTACGAGCGTAATTTCGGAAACCTTGGCGCCAATGAAGTGTGTCTGGGACAAAATGGACGGCTTCGAACGCATGATTTATTGCAGGTATGCGTGGCACTCCGAAAGTGGAGACAATTTCGTACAATCCTGTGTTCTCACGTTTTCTCGGCGAGATTAAACGGTGAAACTGTTCGATCTACGGAGGTCGTAAGTCTCCGACTCAAATTTATACGACACCGAGTCTGCGTGATTCCGTACGACTCTTTCGAGTGATACGGATGACTGGTTGATGTAGAACGGTTTTAACACTTAGGTGACTAATTGTATCTGGTTTCAAATGAATTGAGTTGAACTGACACTGACCGATCGGTGACGGACGAATGACTAAAGACTAATTGACGATGAACTGACAAGTGACAACTGATCGAGAGAAGAATCGGTTTCGAGTTTTTATACTGTTTTGTGGATAGAAAACTCGAAATTCGTTGGTCAGTGACGCGATGGAAGGGGATGTAGAGTGACGTAGCGCGCAGTGCCGCATGTAGCAAGAAACCCTGGACGAAGCGGTGCGTGCTAGCGATCCTGTCATAAAAAATGCTGCCGACGAAGATGTGCATTGTTCAAAAAAGCAGAAATGGCTCTATTGCCGGAAGGAAGATGGCTCGAAAATCATACATTTAGAAATTGCAAGAAAGAAGACCATGGCTCTACGAAATTGAAAGCCCAACGAACGTGACCCTCTGTCGATTGCACGTCATTCGTTGAAGGACTGTNAGTAAAACAGAAGACTATCGCTAACCTTCTACCTCTTCCCCTGGCGTCGTTTGCCCTTAAGCGTTGCTCCCAGGGGCAATTCAGAGCGCTCTCAGAGCAAAGAGCGCTTGTTGCTCGTGCCTGATGTAGATGAATGACTACGAGCGTAATTTCGGAAACCTTGGCGCCAATGAAGTGTGTCTGGGACAAAATGGACGGCTTCGAACGCATGATTTATTGCAGGTATGCGTGGCACTCCGAAAGTGGAGACAATTTCGTACAATCCTGTGTTCTCACGTTTTCTCGGCGAGATTAAACGGTGAAACTGTTCGATCTACGGAGGTCGTAAGTCTCCGACTCAAATTTATACGACACCGAGTCTGCGTGATTCCGTACGACTCTTTCGAGTGATACGGATGACTGGTTGATGTAGAACGGTTTTAACACTTAGGTGACTAATTGTATCTGGTTTCAAATGAATTGAGTTGAACTGACACTGACCGATCGGTGACGGACGAATGACTAAAGACTAATTGACGATGAACTGACAAGTGACAACTGATCGAGAGAAGAATCGGTTTCGAGTTTTTATACTGTTTTGTGGATAGAAAACTCGAAATTCGTTGGTCAGTGACGCGATGGAAGGGGATGTAGAGTGACGTAGCGCGCAGTGCCGCATGTAGCAAGAAACCCTGGACGAAGCGGTGCGTGCTAGCGATCCTGTCATAAAAAATGCTGCCGACGAAGATGTGCATTGTTCAAAAAAGCAGAAATGGCTCTATTGCCGGAAGGAAGATGGCTCGAAAATCATACATTTAGAAATTGCAAGAAAGAAGACCATGGCTCTACGAAATTGAAAGCCCAACGAACGTGACCCTCTGTCGATTGCACGTCATTCGTTGAAGGACTGTCAATTTGTCTCGCTGAGCCGAAGATTTCCCGTTAATAAATGTTTTTTTTAGGGATAAAAGGAAAAAGTCATTCGTCCCGGAGAGAGTTAGACGGATGCAGCACGAAAATTTCGTTGAAGGACGGAACAAATCCCTACGATGTCATCAGCTCGTTCCGTCCTTTAAACTTCAAAAAGTCATCGGCAAATGAATCGGTAAAGTTACTAAGAGAACGAATATTAACCCTTATGTCAGTGACTGAAATTGTCAACGTTGTTTTATAATCGGGGTATCCGGATACCGCTATGATCAGCTCCTACATCACGTTAGCGTTTTATGTAATTTTTGTGTAATTATATAAACATTCATTTTTATTTCTTTTATACTTATTATCGCAATAAAATATTTTTATTAATCGTCCGGAGAATTTCTACTCTCTCCCGCACTCCCTATTAGGGTACCCGAGTACCCCGGTTATTGAAAAAAACGTGCATCAAACTTAATCTTCCAATCTGATTTAGTACTTCTTTGATAACAGTAGAAAATGTGCCAGATAACGACGATCTGGCCGGATAATGAAATATTTTATCGGGGGGAATGTGCAGAAAGGTATGCGGTTATCGACATAAGGGTTAATGTATCATCTACCACGAATACGAGAAAGCTCGCGGAGAGAATGATTTCCAGCCGAATACTCGAAAGCGACACCGGCGAATTTGCAGGAGTTAGCACCAACGCGCGAGGGCTACGGATGATCCGAAAATTACAGTTATTAAGTACCCACTTTGGAGATCGTAACCGAGTAGAAAAGGACATTATGAAAATTGTCGCGTAAAAAGCGAAACGAAAGGTCCGTTCGCAACGTTAATAAATACGTGGTACGCGTGCATACATAATTCGACCGCGAGAAATGAAATACAAACGGACATTAAGTTACGGACAGAGTAATCTGAATACGATTCTCTCTCGGTTTTTTCCTTGTAACTCATAGTTCGCGGCATGAGGACGTTTGCTTCCGGTAATTATCGAACCGACTGGGATCCGCAGCGTAAGTGGAAACGCGACAGAGGGCCCCCGCCAGTTCGAATTGCGATTCGATGGTTCCACTCTGTCGCCTTGCTAGCGTGACATTTACAAACGATGCGTCTCCGAGTCTCGTGCGCCGGGACGTTCGTTCAGCGGATAACATTTTCGCAACTTCGCGGCGCATTTTATCTTCTTCGCTTTCTTCCTCGGATTTCGCTCTTCGGATCCGTTCGTCGGGGACGTATCAAAGTCGCAGTCGTCTGGAGCGCGCGCCTTTGCCGGCAACGCGAAGACGACCGTGGGATGCACCACCGTTGTCCTCTTTGACGCGATTCCACGAGAACGTTTCACCGTCGCAATCTCCTGGCCGATTCGTCTTGCCTTGTAAACTTCGTCCATTCGTTATGGAGCCTCCGGAGTATGTATTATCCCAGAGTATGTACGTACGCAGACAAGAATTCCACGTTCGGATCAGGTGGTGCTTAAGAAAGCTCTGCGACGACTTGTAGCGCGCGATCGATCGATCGATCGATTCGCTTCCCACATCATAGTGTCTCCAGCCGATCTTTTCAGTCGCGAAGACGGGTCAGTAATCTATTCCCTTGGCGAAGCACCGTTTTCGTTAACCATCCCGTGGATCGTTCGTGGAGCATTCGAGTCGCGCCGGAACACTGTCGCCCGGCTCTTCGACAGCGTAGCTGCGGCGCGCGATCCTACGCGACCGAGATCCACTTGGAATCAGTGTTCATTTGTTCCACCAAGGCCTCGCGAATAGGGCGATTGGAATGTACCAGTATCAGTAAATTGCTCGTCGATATCGTTCACCGATGCCAGTCCTAATCAGTCTTCAATTTGATTTACCAGTGTACTCGCCGATCCCTTTCTCTCCCAATGCACGCGGCATCCGCGCGTGTCACCCGCCGTCTTAACTTCGTTGCCGGATGCTGTGTTCGTTCAACGTTCGGATTCAGTCTTCGATTTCAATTCGCTCGGCCTGCCCCGCGTCCGACCCCTCGTCCACGCGAGTTCGCATCCGTTCGCCCCGCGGACTTCCAGCGTTTACGCGCGATACGAGCCGATCTCGCCCATGTCCATCCCGTCGTGCATCTCCATCTCCATCTCCATCTGCGCCTCCCGGTGCTTGTCCGACCGATGAGGGGCCGACTGGACCCCGACGTCCCGATCGCGGCTTCGATCGCGGGACGATCGATCCTTCTCGCGCGGGAAGTGATGATACTGATGGGTCGCGTGGCCGTTCATGGGCAGTGTGGGGTAGGACGACTGTCCGCAGGAGGCCTGGTGTCTCGAGGGCAGTGGCGGTGGTTGATGATGGTGTCCCGGTATACCGTTCTGAACCCGCGAGTCGTTCTGCCCTCTATCGGAGGGGCTTTCCTTGTCGCGGGCTGGCAGATGCGGCGGCTGAGGCGTGCGCCGCAGAGAATGGTTCGAATAATGCAGCCTGCCGCCGGTGGTCGAGCAATTATCGGCGGCGATGCTCAATGGCGACGACCCGTCCTCCATGGGGCCGACCGATCGGTGACCGGATGTACCGGAGTTGGGCAGCGTTCCCGGACGGCGCATCTGTCGCGCCGTCTCCCCGTCGATGTAGGTGAAGCCTTCGGCAAGGGTCGTACTGCCGTGAGGCAGGAACCAAACGCCTCCGACTCCAGGGCTCGCTGCCCGAAGTTCTAGCTACAGTTCCGTCACCGGTATAGGCTTGATGCTGGTCGAGATCTGAGAGTGTTGTTGTTGCTGCTGTTGCTGTAGCTGTTGCTGTTGCTGCTGGAGATGATGGTGGTGATGGTGCGGCGGCATCTGCTGGGACTGCGGCTGGTGATGGTGATGATGGTGATGCGGGTGCGCCGATCGCACGATGTACTCGTCGTCGGAGAAGGTCTTCTGATACTCGTGCTCCTTGCGGGAGATCGCGCGATTCTTCCATTTGTAGTCCTTGAGCGCGTCTCGGACGCGTCTACGGCATCGGTAGTAGAGGATCAACGCTAAGCCGGTTAAAAGGGCGAGCCCTGCTGCGCACAGCGTGGCCAACAAAGCTTGTTTTCGCGGATCGGAAAAAGCGCAGCCCAGTTCGTCCGGCGTCATGCCCTTCATTGGTTTTCCCTTTGATTCCGGGGGTTCCGCGCATATCACCGGACTGGAGTTCCTTGGGACTAGGACTTCGGATAACCAGAGCAAACCACAGTCGCAGACAAAGGGATTCTCGCTTAAATCCAGGCGACGCAGCTCGTTCCAGGCCACCAGGGACTCCGAGAACCCGGTGAACGCGTTGTCGCGGAGCATCAGATGCCTCAGGTTGGGTAAACCGGCCAAGGATCCGTCCTCCATCGTCGTCAGTCGTTTGTTGCTGTTCAACACGAGGGTCTCCAGATTAGCATTATCAGAGAACGCTCCTCGTTCCACGGTGGTCAACAGCTTTGCCGCAGATATGTCGAGTTTTTTCAGCTTGGACAGGCCCTGGAACGCGCCAGACCTCAGGCTCGTGAAGTAGTTTTGACCCAAGGTGAGCTCCTCGAGGCGAGGCAGTATCGCCAGCTGTTTCGTTGGCACTTCTCGTAACTTGTTCCCATCGAGACCCAGTGTGCGCAGAGCGTTCAGCCCGCGGAAAGCGCCGTCGCCGATGTCGTCTAAACCCGCGCCGGTTATGTCGAGCACCGTCAACTGCTCCAGGCCTTTGAACGCGTCGTCGGGCAGCGAAGAAAACGCGTTCCAGCCTATGTGTAATTCGGCCAGAGCGTTCAAAGGCGCCAAAGCCGGCGACGGGATCGTTCTTAGTTGATTGTCGTCGAGGTGCAACACGCGGAGGGTGCCCAGCTTTTGGAACGCGCTCGGCTCAACCTTCGATATTCGATTTTTCCCCAGATCGAGCTCCTCCAGCTTCGAGAGCGAGGCGAACAAGCCGTTCTTCAAGTTCTCCAGGTAATTGTCCCGCAGATTCAGCACCGTGAGAGATTTCAGGCCTTGGAACGTCTTCTCGGTTAACGCCGAGATCTTGTTGTGCCTAAGGTGCAGCTCCACCAGTTGCTTTTGCGCCTCGAAGCTGCCGTTCGGTATGATGAAGAGATGGTTGCTCGAGAGGTCGACGTTCTTCAGGTCCCCGTAGAATTGGAACGCCGCGGCGTCCACGATTTTTATCCGGTTCTCCTTCAGCACTATCCGCTGGATGCTGGGGTTCAAGGCGATCGGTATCACGTCCAGATTCGCTCCTATGCAGGACACCACGAGGTTATCGTCGTCGCAGGTGCAACCGTTCGGACAGAACGCCGCCGATCCGAGGGCCAACATACCGGCCAGAACGAGCAGATGGTAGACCGTTGTTGTTAGCGTTGCACCGTGCCGCCGAGTCTGAAATTAATAAGCAAAGGAACTCTTTATTAAGAGGGCTCCCACAGCACGGCTTATCGTGAAACGTAATTTACATTAATGCTAGCTTTATTGCCATACATAAATTATATTCTACCGAGACCCCGGCCACATTCGTGACTGGAGGACCGGCGAAAATGAGAAAAGTTGCTCCCGCTTTGGGAGATTGAATGCTTGGGAAAATTCTGTTTCTCGTTGATTTTTACAGCAACCAGCAGCCTTGCTAAATAAGGTTTCTGAATATCGTCGTGTTTTATCAAGAGTGATTGGAAAGGTCGCTTTTATAAAGAAACTTTCGCGAGTGAATGAATTGACATTGATGACACGAATTGTAATTACGGAGGTCGTTCGAGGAATCTAACATCATTTCAGATTGCGGAACATTGACGTAAGATTATTCAATTCACAGCGACACGTGCGTTGCTGTGAACAAATTATGTCATCACTTGTTCAATGAATAATTTTAATGAAGAGGATACTAGCTGTTACTACAGCGTTTTTGTATTTGTTGTTAACTTACTCGATTGAAGAGAAATGGCGAATGGGTGTTATAATTTATTTTTTTTTATACAGGTATTGCAACTATTTTTGTAAATATTTGAATGATGGACAAATTTAAAGTAATTTTATTTCTGTACAAACTTCAACAACTCCTATTATAAAGCATCAGTCCGACTGCGAATCAAGTATTTACTGTATAATATTGGCGTTCGGTTAATTTCTTATCAATATAAATTGCATGCAAAATTAATTGCAAATGAAAATTAACATGTTTGAAAACAATTACGTGAATATTTGCAGGTATATTTAAATGTACATAAATGAAATTCTGACAGAATTATATGTATAAAACATAATGCGGATTGCGCTTGCATATTTATTCTTCGATATTGATATGTTAACTGGACCAGGTTAATTTAACCGCTTTTGACACGTTGATAATCGAGCCAGTACCCATAAAAATTCCACAAAATTGAAGCAATATATTTAACACGTTCAGTGCCGCGTGAGTTACGTAATGGGTGACACTAATTTTTAACTAGGTTTTTGAAATTCATTTTCATCGTAACATGTATATTGAACAAGTTGAATGTTACTAGGATTTGTAGAATACAAAATAGCTGAACTAATATTACCTATGGAAATTTCCACTTTCTAATTTCGGTTTCATCGATTTTTATTATTAAATGACTTTAATATCGTTAATTTTGATATTGTGAATTTTTCGAGTTGATATTCATCACTTAACGTGTTAAAAAAAACAGACCTAGCCAAATTATTCGTTATATTTTTAAAGAGATGAAATATAAACATGAAATTTTATTAAAGCAGTCATCTTTAATGTAAATTGTTGTGATCTTTTTTGGTATTACACTTTTTTTATAGGAAATAAAATTCATGAAAGTACGTTAAGTATTAAATTTTTATTACGCACAGTTATTATAAGGCTCGAATCAATATTCAGAGTGGGAGCACGATAACTGAAGCACGATATTCGGAGATGAGGTACGGAAACTGAAACACACTGATTGATCTTTGTAGATCGTAGATTATAGGCACGCAGAATTTTTTTTTCTTTCTCCTAATATTCGAAGAAAATTTGATATTTTTTTAATTGGAAATTTAAAAAATCTGGAATTTCTTAACGTGTTCGTGAACGCGAATGCTATAGCAATCATTTTCATCGTGATGCAAAATGACGTGAATGCTATAACATTCATGTTCAGAAACCACATTGTCATGTCTTCAATTCTATACAGTGTTTATATTTTTAATTATGCGCTTTAATGTGCTGGCAAATTGATTCTATTTTTGTTTCGTTTTGTCTATTCTTTGTGTACACAAAAAGTAACTATTAAAATGTGATACTCTGAGACTCGGATATTACAATGAACTTAAGAGTGAATGTCTATTTTTGTCTATTTTTGCAGTTCATTAAAATGATTACTGCAAACGCGTTAATGTCAATTAAATTGCCAAAGCTGTTTTCAGTAGTGAGAACTCCTGAAGTCCGTCCACAGGGCACATTAATTGGCTCCTGTGTCCTGTTCGATATTTTTGCAAGAGATTCACGTCGAATCCGGCAAATACAAAGTCGGCATTTCGCGAAACTTAATCGGCGCGACGGTGTCGGGCGAACGTTAATCCGAAGCCGAAACGTGAGCGGCGTGTGCACGTGCGGGGGTTAGATCTTCCTCGGCCGGCAATGATTGCGGCGTGTCAGCTGTATTAAAGCTAAAAACGCGCACGTCATTACGAAAGGATTATGCACTCCCGCGGTACCGAAGTAACCCGCGAGGTCACCGGCACGTTTGACCTCGTTGCACATTTTCCATTTCAACCGTATTAAGAGATCCAAGCCGGGATTTAATGAATCAAGGTCCCTCCGAATACACTTTGATATTATTTATTCGAGCATTTCTGCATATTTGCCGGGAGCATGAACAGGTTCCACCGGCAAATTGCTGGCCGACCGCGCTAAATAAATTCTCCGACACAGCCATGGCAACTAAGCTCGATTACGGGAAGCTCTAAATCCGTGTAAATATTGTGACATTTTTAGTGCAACAGCCGCTCCTTTTTATTCGCCGGCTGTTCCTAGCCGTTGCCTGATTCTCTTGTTTGCTTCTGGCTCGAGGATGTTCCGTTTTGTTCTGTCTTACTCGCAAAGAGGTTGCGAGGCGATCCTCCACTTTCTGAATGCGATTTAGGCGGACATTTTCGAGGCTAATGAGTGCAAGCCGTTTCTGCATTTTACAGCTAATTGCCTTCAACTTGTACTAATAGTGAAATGGTATTATTTATTTTGCAAATGTTGATTATATTTATTTGAAGAATGTCGACAGTTTCGTGGAAAACCATTCATATTTTGCGTGTACAGTAATTTCTCCTTAATTCGCGTTCAGATTGCGCACAAAAATGAACAATTTGGGAAGATGAGATACGATTATTCGAGCCTTGCGTCTCATTTTTATAGTTGTTGGCAATCGGTAACCATAAAAACAAGCCGCAAGGCTCGAATAATCGTATCTCTTCTTCCCAAATTGACCATTTTTATGGGCAATTTGAGCGCGAATTAGGGAGAAATTACTGTATTTCATTTTATGTAACACAATATGTATATAAGTATATAAAATTTGATTACAGAAACAATATTATTTATTTTCAAGTATTATGTCTTTCTAAAGAATATTAGTTACTGTGTTTAAAAAATTTATATATGTGTGTGTGTGTGTTTTTTTCTTAGATTACATCTATATTATTTTCCCTATCTGAACTTTTATGAAAATATTAAATGAAGTGTTATTAACTGTTCATTTCCCTTCGTTAATACCTATGATAGTTAATGTGTTGTAATAAATTTCTGCAGCGAGGGTAGCGAATGTAGATCCATTGTTTAATGCTAGCGGATATTTTCACATTGAATTAATTTGTTTGTTTCAATTCACACGTTGATTATCAAGCGTATCCGACTATTACGAAACGCTGTGTTGGTTGCATAAAAGCTAGCGTGGAATTATAAATATAAAATTCATAAAATGTTTCCAATAATAGTATGAATAATAAAAAACTACCTTATTACCAGACTGCGAATTTTTATGCGTATCATTTTCACACGTAATTGCACAAAAATTTGAATGAAATAAAAGTGTCCTTCGTAGACTGTAAGATTACTCACTGTAAAAAGAAAATAAAAATGCAATTAGACCTTGTTAATTTATACGTTTTCTTGCATTTTATACATCTGCACGTAACTGGAGATCCGCGGTCTACTTATTATCTTCGAAGCCACGATAATTTCTGCAAATCGATTATATTTAAATAATCGCGACTCATGAACAGACGGGATAATAAATTACACAATGCTTCTCCATTATACTACGAAGGTCGCCTGTGGAAATGAATGCTTAAAAACGAGCGAGCAAACCATTTCACTGGTTCTTGCACTGAATGCAGCGACTCGAGGAACCAAATCGTGCAGTTAGGAATTCACTAAGTCACCAATTCGTCCGCAGCGCATTATATGGAACACCGCAATGCTGAAGCAGTTGGAAATAGTAATGACACCGGTCAACCGGAGTTACGAGAGCAACGTGTTAATCAATCAGAACTACGACGGCAATAAGCTGTGACGGTTAATAACGATAATGGACGCTTTTATTGCGGCCGAGCGTGGGTCAATAAAAATTTACAAGCGGCCGGCGCAGGACTGCGAGCCCCTTTCGCTAAAAGCGGTTTTGCAGTCTGACCTAATACGAATTATAATAGGATTAGCCGAGATAACGGCACGGTTACTCGCTCTTGCGTGAGTTCACGAGCATATAATTATGATGGCGTTGGGATGCTAATAGCGCATTGTTTCGGTCACGGAAACAACGGAGAACGTTATTCCGCCGTGTTTGGTTAAATTATCTTATGTTAATCTAAAGTCAGGTTTATAATAGGTGTTACGGCTCGCAGCCCTGGACGCGGACTGGAAAAAAGCTAAAGTTCACTAAACAACATGCTACTTTACGTTCGAACCCAATTACCTATCGATTATCGTCCCCGCGAACCAGGAAATGTGCGAAAGTGAGGATCGCCGTAACAAGTTTCACGTGCAAATGTAAAACTTTTGGAAATTAATCGGTTCGTTTAATACTAGCCTTACCGGCTAGTTAAAAGTGATTCGCCCCTGTGTTGCCTTGTACAAATTACAGTACTGAATTTATTTAGATTTTTCCCAATTTTTATATTAGTACATGTTGGGACGAATGAATTTATTAAATGTGGTTTCCTTATAATCCCAATAATTGTAGGATAAAAATTGTACGGTTTGTGTGTTAAATATTTTAATGACGTCTCTTTAGCGAGATTGTTTAACCCTTATTTAGGTTACTTATTTAACTATACTTCCGTCGACGACTTTTTGTGTTCTTCCAAAATGATCGTAAAACTAACATGGATGTCCATTCTTTGCACACAATTACATCAATTCACAG